TATTTCAAACAAAAAAAATAATTTTGTAAATGTAAAGTCAAATTAAAATGTGAAAATCTGTTGCACGATAAAAGAGAAGAAACATTTTCACGCTCCTGAAATTCCTGTTTTCTCGTTTTACGGTCCAGCCGTTAAACGGATTTACCTTTTCTAAAATTAAATCCTCAACGCTTTTCCCTCTATACGCTGTATGGTACTCTGAAAAATGTTTATTCACCCGCTCCCGAATCGCTCCAATAGAGTTTCTTTATGAAAAATGTTCTAAGGGAGAAAAATAAAATTTGTCCATCATTATGTTTATCAAATCATTTTATACAGACAAACAAAGCCATGAACGCATTTTCTTAAATTATTGTAATGAATATTGGTTGGTAAAGCCCGAAAAACAAAAAAAATTAAAAACAAACCGAAGAAAAAAAAAAAAAAAAAAAAAAAAAAAAAAAAACACCCCTTATGATTCAATATAACATCACCACGCGAGCGAATCATTATCTCCATCTGTCCGTTGATTGTCACATTAACGCCCACTCGATTCCTCGGGATGCGAAAGCGAGTGCGCTCGACAGCCGTGATATAAAACTAAATGGAAAAACAAGGAGGAGCCGATAATCGGGCGAAGCGCTAAACCGTCAAGGCGACGCGCGACGAATCGATCGCGTGCAAGAAAGACTCGTACGTATATATAAGTATAATTGGCGACACGTGTTGTGTAGGTATAGTACACACAAACTCCGAGTTTAGTTAGAGCATGTCTACCTACATGCCTCCTCGTACTCCTCCTCACGCGCTTTATTTCGTGATGCAGGTACAAGTACACACGTTTTGACACACGCAAGGAACCTCGGCCTTTGTGTATAGATATGTACATTGTACAGCCTCGGGGTATCATTGGGCATACATTACACTTGTACTCCCCCACGCACCCTCCCTACATACTGAGACCTCAAATCGTTATGCACCTCAATCTCCACCCTCTTTCTTTTTTTCTTTTTTCTTTTTTTTTTTTTTTTTCAATACAAGCATGGTACATACGAACACGTCTGACGTAGCTCGTCTGTTACTACTGAGCCTGTTTATTTATAAATCATCGATAAATTGTACAAGACATATTTATTTCTGTAGTCTCTTACTTTGTAAAAAAAAATGTATATTTATTCATTTAATACATCCATGCGCTCATCTGTCATCGTAATAAAGCTTTTACCCCTCCCGCGCAACAATTGCAATCANAATACAAGCATGGTACATACGAACACGTCTGACGTAGCTCGTCTGTTACTACTGAGCCTCTACACTTTTGATAGCATTATTTTCGTATTTTTTGCACCCTCATCGCAAGAAAATAAGACTTTTCCTCAAACTAGTTAGGGGACATGTATTTTATGGTACAAAAGATCGAAACATGCTGTTTAGGAACAATATATTACATAAATGTTCAGGATGATGAACAAAAAAAACTTGAATATTTGAAGAGGCACCGTGCCAATGTAGTGATTTTTTTTTTAACCAATAGTAAAACACGTGACGTACAATGAGTAAAATAATGACGTAATAAATAATATGATAAATATTGGTGAAAAAAAAAATTATTCAAATGGTGTATCCTCTATGTTTTTTCTTCGTTTCAACACGAGAGTCTCACTAGACACACTCTTGATAAGTAATTAACTCCGTATGGGTGGAAATCAAATGGAGATTGAGTTTTATCTTGACGATTGAGATACCTGTGTACACACACGTAGAGGAAACAAAGTGGTCTGGCAAAAGAAAGAAAAACACCGTTCAATCAAGTGACGCAGCAACATATATATGTATAAGTAGAAAGACAAACGTTGGAGTCAAGTGTTTGGCATCAATACAGTGTTTAATGAAAAAATGATTCGCATCCTTCTCCCACGCGACATGTCAAAGTAACCACGAATCGTTAAGAAAAACACCAAGTGCGCTCAAGTAAGTCGCGCAGAGGCAACATACGATATCGTTCGAAACAATAACATTAACGCTCGCAGGTGCGGCGCGAAAGCAACGAGCGCATCAATGTCATCCTCAATCGAGGGATGGAAAGGGAAGGCAATCGGGATAATTATTCGCTGCACGTCCAGCGTTTAGCCACGCACGTCCAATCAATAAACTGGAACTCCCTACCCTCTTTGTTTTTTCCTACTCACGGGTAATGTTTTCAATTGGCACTAGAATAAAATTGATAAAAAGGACGGTTGCCGGATGGTTTTTTTTTTTTTTTTTTTCCAACTCGTCAGTTGTCTCCACTGTTTTTTTTTCTTTCTATTTTTTACATTGTCGAAGAGTGAGTCGAGATTTGCCGAAGCATCATGCAAACGCGAAAAGTTGATGATGGTCGTGGCAACCGAGGTGGCAACGAAAGGAAACCAGAAAAAATAAGGAACTACAATAGCAACGCAGTACCTACACACCACAGAGAGAGAGTGGAAGTAGTAGAAGGCAGAGAGCGGAAAAACTACACAAAAGACGACGATGACAGCGGTCGCTCGTTACGGATATCGATTTTTTTCCATCTCGGGTGTAAAGTGACGGAAAGGGGCAAGAGATAAAAGCGATGGAGAGAATAGAAAATAATTGATAAGTATCGCGCGTGTGCGGGGAAAACTGATTTGCTTTGATTAATCGGACACGGCTTTTTTCGTATCTTTTAAGTATACAACATGGCGCCTTGTGCGCCGACGGTAACGGCAAAATCTTCCACCCACGTTATTCGTCAGTTTCATATCACGGGGGAAGAGATAAGCAACAAAACTATATAGAGGAGAAATTGAATTACAGGTGCCATCGGTGTCTTTTTTCTTTTCTCTCGCTTCCAAATGAATTTCGGAGTTGATTAAAGTTATGTGTTGGTCATCACTCGAATTGAGCAGAATAATAATTTCCCAGTGTACATATAGTATATATTATATGCGTAAGCGAGCTTGTCAAGTGCATTGATAATATTGACGACTACGTTAGAGCGATAAAAATTCAGGAACACGCGCGGGGGCTTTTTCTGAGCTCGTATATTCAAACTTATACATGGACGAGTTTCGAACTCAATGGAACAGGGGAATCCCCCGAATCCTTCGAAAAGACCATTTTCAAGTTCTACACGTTCGATCTGCCCCCTCCCCGCCCCACTTCAAAGTTAAAAGCTCTCGAGTCGAGAAAGTTACAAGATCAGCGCCTAAATAACCTAGCCAGTACGTATATGTTAAACATTGAGTTTAACTTACAGCGAAAAAAAAAGGGGAGCACGAAAAATATCAACGCGAGAGAGAGCGCGAGGAGCCGCTGTATCGATTACGCTCGTCCTCTTCCTCCTCCTCCCGAAACTGCGCGTGCACAAGAGAGTGTGGCCGTCGTACATGTGTGTCGCGTGTGTACGTACAACGTACCAACCCCTGCGAGTGAGACTTCACGCCATCTTTTTGGTCACCCCCGCAAAAATGTGCTCGACCCTCAGACACCCTTTCCACCCTTCCGAAAAAAATAGGTGCCCTAAAAGGAAAAAAAAAAAAAAAAAAAAAAAAAAGAGAAGTTTCATTCGTCAAGCGAGAGAGACAAGAAGGTACGTATACATGTGTACCACCTAGATAGTCTCAGGAGTATGTATATTGCGCGACGATTATGCACCGGAGCCGCACCGCGACCTTGACGCTGGCTGGTGTGCACACAGCGCGCGCGCCGCTGCACTGCCTTGGAGGAGAGCTTCTGGTACCCCCCTCCCTCTTGCACCGCGCCCGCCTAGTTGTCGAAACGGCTAATCAATAAAGAGAGTTCGTCTTTGCTATGATGTTGTCGAGGCACGTAAACCTACCCTACCTACCTACACTTACACCCATGCTGATGGTATTTTACGATATTTTACGCTCTTGTGTTATTTACTTGGTTACTTACGCTCTGCCTTCTAGATCTCTCTCTCTCTCTCTCTCCACCCTGTATACCTGATTTTGGAGTCGATAAGGGCACGCGTTATTTATATCCTTGAGCTTTTAACCGTGATGATTAACGTGTTGTACATCGGTAACGGAATCTGTGATCTATACAATTCGATAACACAGTTCAAGTCTTCAGCAAACAGCAAAAACAGATGATACAATAGATAACGCGCCTGATGGGTTACTGTCAGATATACGTATGCACGCGTTTCTATACTTACGTATCCACACGCGATGTGTGGTGTGTGCTTGCATGGAATATCTCCACTTTATAACTGTGCGTAGTATACCTATCAATGGATTCGTCCGACAAAGAAGAAGATTAATCGAAAAAAAAAAAAAAAATGAAACATGAGTGTTTTTAAATTTATTGAAAAACAGCAACAATGGATTAAACTCGGCTCGGCCAACCCTCAGTCCAAAGGTATTTCGAAGAGGGAGATTGGTGTATGGAAATCTCACATCATCAGAGTATAAATAAATAATTGATAGATCCAATCAAAGATTGATGGACCGACCAATAAACACACACACACACACACTAACCTTCCAGCAGGGTCAACCCCTTCGGCAGCATTTTCTACAGTTGGAGGCTGCTGCTGTTGATCGGCCGGTAGTTCGCTCCCGTCCTCGGCCTTTTTGCCCATCCAGTTGGACACCTGGTTCGTCAGCCCGGAGAACATGACGTCTGCCGCGCTGCTGCAGCCTACCTTGCAAAACTTGTTATTTTTCCTTTATACAAATACAACTCGCCCCACCGAGTAGGCTATAATGTATCTTCTTGTCGCTCCTCTCTTTGCAACCTGCACTGCACCTGGCTCCTGATCCTTGTTGTACCTATTTCTTTCTTTTCTCTTCTCAAATCCAAAAGCAAGGAACAAAAAGTTCCTTCGCTTCCCCCTGTACTTCTGCTGCCGTCCTCCTGTTAGCTGTTTTTTAAACAATGGTTGGCACACTATATGTAATTGTTCGCGCACTTGTGGGTAAGGACAACACTCGCGAAGCTTCCTCTTGTTTTATATCAAGATCTATACGTCGTTTTTAAGGACTATAGGTATAGGTAGAAATCGTGACTGCAACGACGATGACTCGGAGGTAGTGAGGCGAGACAAACGACTGTCGCAGCAAGAGAATCTCTTGCTTACTGATCAGTTCAGGGCACTGTAGGGCTAGTAAAAAGGACAGAGAAGAGAAGAGATGAAGTATAGAAGCGAGATAGAGAAAAACGCAACGCACGGATATCACGGATGCGCGATGTTGTTCCTCGTCGACGTCGTCACGATTGGAAACTGCGCGCGCAGACGACGCTGATAAAGAAATACTTTCTGCCGACTCTGCTGCTGCTACTTTGGGATATAAGGAAAACAATATCATATCAGCTGTGCAGCTGACGTATACTGGCTCCAAAGTTTAAATGTCTGGGTATGTTGATTACAAGGTGAAAGTAACTAATTTATTTGGAGTCGAGTGAATAATGATGACTTGAAAAGTGTAAATCGTCGTAGATATGGGGCTGATTTAAGAAAAAAATGTTTAAAACGAACTTTGGGAACATTTTAAAATTCTGGTTTTTTATTTGGTTTTTTCTTTTTTTTTTTTTTTTTTTTTTTTTTTTTTTTTTCATTGCAAGCCTCAGAGCGAGTTTAAACAGACTTATTGCAACGTTTTTTCAAACCATTAAATTGTCATCATTGTGATGATAATCTTACAAACAAGAAAAGAATCACACTTGTCTTTTGCTATTTTTTTCTCCTTTCTTTTTGTTAATCACTAGTTGAAGATTTCAATTTCAATAAATGGTATAAAAACTCGGGAAATACGCGGTTCAACACCTTAGACTGTTCAATTAACGACTGCAAATCACACTCGCCGAGGATTTGAACTTGAAAGTTATGTCTTTTGTATACATATACACGTATGTAAATATACAAGAGATTCAAAAAGTTCAAGATCAGCATTAAATTGTTCGTTATCATGTCTGCATGCATTTGCTGGAAGATGTTGATTGATGCATTGACACTTGTTGTTTTAATTTCGATTATCAAAAAATATCAAAAACATCGTTATCTTTAACTTCTCTGCATCTCACGTGACAATCCCGGCGCTATTGGCGTTTCTCCACCCTGTGAAGTTTCACGTGGCGACTGGAAATATGATAATATATGACTTTGTATTATAAATCATTGTTGCAGATAAATTAAAATTTATTTACCTTTACTTGTATATGGTTTTTCAAAACTGCTGCCCTTAAAATTAACATTCTAGTGCGCCTTTTATACTCCTTTCCTAATGCTATCGATTTTTCAAACGTTGTACTGCGTTGATCCACATCTTTGGCGTATAAAATCTGTTAAAAAAATCATGCAAATTTAAAATATTTTCAAACGAAACCAACTCGTACATAAAATATAGAAAGAATTTACTTTATTATGAGAATCAATGCGAGCTTGAATTTGACCATCAAGTATGAGTTGCATGAGTTCATCTTCCAAAGCTGGGACAGTTCTGTTGAAAGCAGTAGCCATACGTTTCATGTCTGCACTGAGATAAGGACTAAAGTATTGTATCAGTGCTCTGTTGCGGATTTGAGTATACAGAGTGTTTACGTGTGGCGCGATGTACATGTCTAATAAAATGTTGTCCTTAATTTCGTCAAGCAGTTTTAAGCAGGAGGCATATTTAGACTCATAAAATTTGAATATGATATCTCTAAGTTGAGGTTCCAGCTCTAGGAAAAGTTTAAAGGAACTGCTAAATATCACCTGCTTTTGAAGTTCGTGCCTAAAGATAAATAATTAAATAAGAAAATTGTATGAATAATACTATGGAAGTTTCAATTATTCAACAACAAAATTTACCTGTCAAAAGTCGCCAGAGCACATAAACCACCATAAAGAGCAACGTTTCCTGGCGAGAGAATTTCGGGAAAATCGCAGTGATCGAGTGACGCGTTGAGGAATAGTTTAGCAGCAGACTTGTACTTTTTAGTCGCGAGTTCGGCCAGTCCAGCAGCAACTTTCAGTTTTGTAACAATAGCCTGATTGTTATCTTTGCCCTGAACGTTTGGGAAATCGGGTGTGTTTTGAGCCTTAGTAACATAACTAATAACATGGCTCCAATTTTGCAAATATATAGAAACTTTCAAAACGTTCCAGCACATATTCACCACGTGTTTTCCACTGGTGCAATAGTCGCGAGCACGGGAGTAGCACTTGAGCGCGTTGCTCAAATCACCACAGTCCAGATAGTGATCCCCCAAATCGTCGTGACCACGTCTTATGCTCTCTTTTATTGAATTACTCTTGTAATTCTTTAAATCAGTGTCGTACTTTTCAAGCTTGAGCGCAGCCTTCTTTGAACGTGACTCTACCCACATCGGGTCAACTGTTGGGATATCTTGAGACGTGGATTGTGCGGCCACGTCCGGCAATCCAGAGGCATTAAGTGCCAAGGCTAATTTTCTGTGTAACAATAAATACATTTGGACGTTGTATGTTGTCATGACGTACGATATTGCCATTTTTAAAGCTTCAATTCTCAGAGCTGGGCAATGATCGGCTATGTACATTAACCTAAACAGTTTGGCAAGGCCTGTGTAACTGTTTGCGTATACTTCTAAATCCTGCAACATGAAAAAAAAAGAAAAACCTTTGTGAATCCTCAATAACGTCAAATGGTTAAATGTTGAATGAGATACACTAAGTTTGAAATCATTTCAAGTTGACGTATTCAGAGAAAAAGGTGTCGACTCATGAAATTTTGAATGAAAAAAAACTTGCTGTGATAAGAAAAATTAATGAATGCACAAGCAAGTACGTCACAAAATTGTCCATTAATAAAACAACATTTTTTAGTACTCACCAGGGTTGGATTTTCAACGGTATACGGCTCCTCCTCGGTATTATCATTATCCTCGGTCGGCGCGTCAACCTGCATGGGCTCGACCGCATTTTGTTGAGCAAACGAGAACATTTTGTATGACCGTATCGATGCTAAAGAACCCCTGATAGCCTCGGCAACAGCCACTTTCCACTCCGAATCTTCGTCTTCTCAAACAACAGCAACAAAACACAACCTCCTCTCTCTCTCTCGTCCCGGGTTTGACTCAGTAACCCTACTTTCGGCAAATTCAGAGAGAAACATAACCAATAATCAGAAAATTGTACAAAACACCTCGGTGAGGCAATTCATGGCAAACAATTTCGCCTGATCTTACCTATGCTTATCGAGCTGATTTAGTGTGCCTCGGGAAAATTTGATAGATCAACATTTTTGAGAGGGACAAAAAACTCTAATCACACGAAAAAACGCACACCCGTTCTTACGCGCTTCCTACTATTACTTATCACATAAATACATACATATTTGTGCGCATACACGAAATTATAAAAAAAGAAAAATGTCATAAGAATGCAAGAAAGAGAGAAGTTAAGTATCAAAAGGTGAATCTTCAACTAGTCGACAAAAAATAAAGGTAGGTAACTCGGTAACTTGCAAGTGCGTGCAAATGTGCATGTGAAAAAAGCCATACTTACCGACCTTACCGTCACCGGTAAGAAGCAGGGTGCGTGGGCCGTGGACGTAGGTCCTAAAGTGTTGCGCCTTGCGCCTGTGTTTTTATCGGAGTTTTGTGAATGAAAATGTTATAAGTTAAAACAAATGATCATTAACATTTTTCGTAAGTGTATTTGTGTTTTTGATCAAAAATCAAGTATTGAATTAAAGTAAATCCAGTTGGTAAGAACTTTCATAACCTAATTACAATTAAAAACAATTTACAAAACATAGTTGTATCAATAAAATTATTGAAAAAAATTTTAGAACAACCAAAAGATGTTTGTTCTTGCTGAGATGCGCGACACCGTTAAAATTCATCCAAAAAGCTTTAAGCACAAAATAAATACATGCATATCGGAGGAGCTCAACCGTAAGCTGGCAAATAAGGTTTTTCTCAACGTTGGCCTTTGCATAGCATTAAACGATATCCTGGAGATCGGCGAGTCTTTTATATTTGCCGATGACGGCTCTTCTCACACCAAAGTCAGATTTCGGTACGTGATATTCCGACCTTTCATGGAAGAGATAATAGTTGGCAAAATACGAAGTTGTAACAGCGAGGGTGTACACGTGACTCTTGGTTTCTTTGAGGACATTCTGATACCACCACACAAGTTGCAGTATCCCTCAAGATTTGATCAAACCGAGCAAGTCTGGGTTTGGGAGTACGATGATGGAGAGAAGCACGACTTGTTCATGGACGTTGGTGAGATCATACGATTCAGAGTGGTAAAGGAAACGTTTGTCGACTCCTTGCCCAATACTCCTGGTGAATCTGGAGAGAAAACAGAGCCACTTGTTTCATCTCCTTATGTGCTGGAAGCTGCCATTGATGAACCTGGACTTGGACTTCTTTCCTGGTGGAATAATTGACGCCTTTTTTAAGATGTGACACTTTTGTTGATGATTCTTTATGGTGTGTGAGATAAGACTACTTTATAATGAATTTATGATATATTTTTTGTTACGAATAAATTTTTGTTACTTTTTTTTATTTATAAAATAAACAGTTTTTTTATTTTATCTATTCCTTAAATCAAGTTTAAATCAAACTTTTGCGCCAATTATTTACTTTACCGACAGAACTTATTGTGAGATTTCTTACCTCAAAAATGTTTGATTTCCTCTAATATATTAAATNTATAATACTTGAAAATTGGAAAAAGCCGTGGGAATAAAAAATTGAGTTTCCATAAAATTTTTTTATGATGATTTCATAAATCCAAGAAATAATTGTCAGCCCCTTGACTCAGCACCTAATCAAGAATCTAAGAGAAACATTTTTTTTTTAAGATAATTTAAACACAATTACTATCATTGTTCTACGTTCGACTTTGTTATTGGACACACGCCATGCAGTAGTAAAAATAACAAGCAACAAAAATTGTAAAATGGAGCAGAAAAAAAATATATAGGTATAATATATCTCTGCAAATATGCTTAGCAAAAAGGGGTGGGGATGGGGACAGGGGAGCGCGTGTCATGCGTCTTTGTTTATGAGTCTTAGGTCAATGTCATTCCAGTGAATATAGAATATATAATATATATTCTATATTCTCTGGTCATTCCCCTGGTGTTAGGTGTAATTTAGTAGGTACACCTAACCTTATGTGTGTAAACTTGAAGCACCGTGAAAAAATTTTTTGACGTGTTACATTAAATCGATTCGTCCTTTATATGTAAAAACAAGTTTTTCACCATCTCACTCCATCATCTCAAGGTTGTGCACACTTTTAAAAATACAGGTAAGTACCTAAGCAAAGCATACATTGCTCAGAGGGAAGTGATGCTGATTAATAGGTACCTACTTAATGTAGTAGTAGATACAAACAGTCGGTGTCGCTGAGCAATGGCTGAAGCAGCTGATGTGTCTGCTGGTGTAAGGCTACTTCAAGCATCACATCGTATCAGGCCCAGAAGACCCCAGCTGAAGCCACAAGATGTCGAGGAGAAAGTTCCAAAAATTATTATTCAAAGGCGACCCCCCAGGAGGCCCAAGCTGCCCGATGGTAGTGTGTTTACACCCAGCACTCCTGGATCCTCAGCTCGACCAACTGTCCAGCCACAAACATCCAGCATTGTTGATCATGATACTGTTGTTACTTCTACTGTGCCAAGTGTCAGCTCGACAAGACCATATTTCGTGACCAACCAACACATCGAAGAGCTCAACGAACGCTTTCTGAAGCTTGATCTGAGCCAAGAGTCTTTTGAGGATGTGAGTACTTGTTTATGGTTTTTTTTCCTTGCTCTTTGTGGATTTTTATTTATTTTATTGAGTAGTCTAATTTATAAGACTCAAAAAAGCATACGCATGATTTTTATTGTATTCAAAAATGTATAACAATTATTTTGAATGATCACCAACAAAAATCTTTTCTTTCAAACACTTGCTAATTATACTTATCGAATTTTCAGCCGTCTATGGCGAGCTGTATTTCTTCAACTCAAAAACGTGTTCAGGATAGTAAAAGAAATAGGAGGCCAAGAGGTAGAGCAATAAAGAAGTCTTCTCAAATTCATGATGAAAGCTTGATTCTAGAGAATGGGGAAGTTGATGCCCATGCTAGCACTTCTAATACAAGTGTCACCAATTCTAGCGAACCTAAGGAAGGTAAGAAAAAAAATCATTTTTACCTCCAAAGTTTGCAAAGGGACAAAAAACCTCCAAAATCTCAGAAGGATGCACCTGAAGGCGATGCATCGCAAGAGGATGACAAAAAGCTCAGCAATGTACCCCCAACACGCAAAGAACTCAGAGAAAAGAAGAAGAAAGAGAAGAAAATATTTAACGAGCATCTGCCAAAGGAAATAGTGACAAAACTTTTAGCTGTACAAAATCCTGACATTCCAAATATTGTTGTTGGCTGTATACGAATAAATCCTAGGTGTTATCAAAATGCTTACATATCGCTGACAAATGGTGAACAAGACATACTAATAAATGGTTTGAAAGATCGTAATCGTGCTTTGGAAGGGGATTTGGTTGCTGTAGTTATAAACAGTAAAGAAAGGTGGTTCAAATGTAGTGAAGGTACTTATCAAAGGACTGGCTCGGTTGTGTGTATTTTAGAAAAATCCCACCCGAGAAAGGCAGTTGGCACCCTTAAAAAACAAGACGTATTTGTGTTCTTCCAACCAAGAGACTCAAGGGTACCAATCATGAAAATTAACCCAAGAACTGTTCCTGCTAATTTTTATGCCAATCCAGAGATCTATGAAGAAACTCTATTTTTATGTGATATAGTTGGCTGGAATAATGTAGCCTTTGCTGAAGGGTGAACATATTTTCCTTCTGATGAATACTTAAAAAATCATTGATGATTAAAATAAATTTTTTTAAAATTTCAATTACAGAGAAGTACAAAGTATACTTGGGAATAAAGGAGATTTGAGAATCGAGACTAATGCTATTTTATTCGAGAACGATTTAATTTTGACGCCATACCCAGACGAGTTATTAACGGATCTTCCACCTCAAGACTACGTTCCAACCGAAGCAGATCTTGTAGACCGAGATGATTTTAGGAAAACTTGTGTATTTACTATCGATCCTGCCACTGCTGTAGACTTGGATGACGCTTTGTCTTGTAGGCCATTAGAAAATGGAAATTTTGAGGTAACCGTCGCTTTATTTTTGAAATATGATTTTTTTTTTAATATTTATCAAGTTTAGTTGTTACTAATGTAAAAATTAACCAGATTGGTATACACATATCGGACGTAACACACTTCTTGGAGGCATTTTCTCCACTTGACCGTGTGGTTGCGGAACGTGCAACGACGGTATACATGGTTGATAACGTTTATCACATGTTACCAAAACAATTGTGCTTAGTATGCTCGTTATTGCCAGGCCAAGACAAATTGGCCTTCTCTGTAATGTTAGAAGTCAATCCAATGGGTGAAATACTGAATTGCCGTTTCTGCAAGTCTGTGATAAACTCCTGCTGCCAGATGTCGTATCAACAAGCGCAGATCATGATCGATAATGATGAGTATGATTGGGAAAAAGATGGCTCGTTGAAGATCCATGGAGATTACACTCCAGCTGATTTGACTAAGATTGTGAAAAATCTGTATCAAATATCCAGGCATTTGAATAAAAAGAGATTTGATGAAGGAGCACTCAAAATCGATCAACCGAAATTGTATGTGACTCTGGACGAAAATGGCATACCAGTTTCGTATAACCTTGAAGAGAGGAGAGAGAGCAACAGGTACAGTCATCAACGTATTCTCATAATTTATGAAACATGGAAAATATGTTAATTCGGTTATTTAAAAATGAATTTCAGTCTCATTGAAGAGTTCATGTTGTTAGCAAACATGTCAGTTGCCAAACATTTATACGAAACCATGCCTGAATTATCGTTACTGCGTTCTCACGCTGAACCGTCCGAAAGGATACTGAAAAAAACCCAAGAACTTTTATTGAAATTTGGCGTCATTTTAGATGTCGAGTCAGCTGGAACATTGCATAATAGCCTGATGAATTGGCACCAGGCCTGTATAGATAGCGGTCCAAATGGTACTGATGTTTCTCAGTATCGGTGGATGGTGATAAACAGCCTATGTGCAAAGTCTATGGTGGTAAGCTGGCCTTAATACTGGATTTATTAAAAGTTTTCAAAGTTCCAATCGTAGTACACTTATTTTACTTACAGCGAGCTGTGTATAAATGCTCATCGGGAGTCAAGATACCGGATGAGTTGAGACATTATGCATTAAATACCGAGTTTTATACACATTTTACGTCACCAATAAGAAGATATCCTGACTGCATAGTTCATCGTTTACTCTATGCATCAATAAAAAATATACCCTTACCGGATGAGTGGACATCCCAAGTTTGTGCCAAGTAAGCATTTATCACCTCTTCATATGTCCATAAAAAGTTACATTTTTCATAAAAAAAAAAAAAAAATTGTTTGTCGCAGGGTTGCCAAAAATTGTAACGTAAAAAAGCATTCAGCAAAACAGGCCCAAGAACAAAGTAATACGCTATACTTTACATATATGTTGGATCTAAAGGGTTCAATGAACGTAATGGCCATCGTTATGGATGTAAAAGAAAGATCTGTAGACACGATGCTCTGCGACACTGGGCTGAAGGTTCGATTGTATTTTGATGATACATTGGAAGAAACAACTCACACGTTCAAGATCGAGAACGAAGTACCATCCGTAAAACTCACATGGAAAGAACGCGGAATCGTGCAAGTAGGTTGCAGTTTTTTTTTTCAATCGCGTGGCTTTTGACTCAATTACAAAAAAATAAAGCTTATTTTAATGTGTTACTTGTTTTGCAGGAGATTGAAATATTTAGTATATTGAGGGTAAAAATAACGAAGCACGGCCAATTGTTCAGATTACAAGGTATAATATTGCCCCCGGTGCCATGGCAAGAATTGTAAAAAGTATCATTAAATTAATTGAGAATGTACATTTTAAATGCATATCGAGCTTTATTGAATTATTCGGACTTGGATCACGTTTTTATAATTTATAGATAAAGACAAGACAATTTTTGTAAAAATGGAACGCTTAATCATCTTCGTAAACAAGAAAAAATTTTACTGCTAATTAATAAAATAAATAACAATTATAAATATCATTTTTCTTGTGTAAATAAATTTGTTTTTTTGTTTACGCAAAAACTTTTTTACTTTTGCAGTCAATTTTGTTCTTATTCAGGTACATTAACAGTGGGTAAGGAAGTCAACTGCATTTACCATATGTACGCGCATACAATCCAAAATTTACACACCACATAAACATGCATACATAAAATATATATATTTTTTTCTTCATATCTACTGTGACACAGTTAGGTTAGGTCGAATAGCGTATGGAAAAAATAATAACAGTGCAGAAGTGTATCTCTGTTGAAAGTTGTTAGATTTTAGTTGCTGGTTTTTAAAAGTTGTAAAATCAAAGTGTTTTTTCAAGAAACAAATCAGCATGGACGAGCTCGAGAAGCTCGAGCATCTGTCGCTCGTGTCGAAAATATGCACGGAGCTGGAAAATCACTTGGGTCTGAACAATAAGGACTTGGCCGAGTTCGTGATACACTTGGCTGAAGAAAACAGCACCTTCGAGTCCTTCAAAACAGTCCTCGTGAAGAATGGAGCTGAATTTTCAGATTCGCTCGTCGCCAACTTGCTGCGCATCATTCAACACATGAAGCCCAAAAGGACGAACTTTGCCAACAGTGAGTCAACGTCTGGTAATTCTGAAAAGGACAAATTGGCATACAAGTTTCCAGGATTGGCTCTACCTGATGAGGCGCCTCAGAAGCAAACTATTGCCAACGAAGAGGACGTTAAGAAGGTAGATGCCGTTAACAATCCTGAGGGCAATGGTAAGTCTAGCGAAAACAAAGAAAGTGAGAAAAGCAGTAGGAGAAACAGAGATAGGAGTAAAGAGAGAAACAAGTCACGAGAAAGAAATAGGAGCAAGGATAGGGCTAGATCTAGGGATAGAGAGCGAAAGAGGGATAGGTCTCGATCGAGAGGTAGAAATCGCAGCAGAGACAGAGGCAGGTCTAGGGATAGAGATAGAGGTAGAGAGAGGCCCAGATCCAGGGACAAGGAGAGAAATCGTTCCAGGGACCGGGACCGTGACCGAGAGAGAAATCGCTCGAGGGATAGAAATCGCGACAAGGAGAGGGACAGGTCTAGAGATAGGAGGAACCGCAGGTCGAGAGACAGGAGTGGCACTAGATCCTCCAGAGATTCCAGAGAACAGTCGAGGAGACCTAAGAAGCGTGAAAGCGCCTCGCGCTCCAGATCGCGATCCAATTCAGCCGAAGAGTTGTCCCAAACAGCAGAAGTCGGCAAGATATATCACGGTAAGGTCGCCAACATAGTGCCGTTTGGCTGTTTCGTACAGTTGGATGGGCTCCGAAGGCGCTGCGAAGGCTTGGTTCACATATCTCAGCTCAGAAGGGAAGGAAGAATTGCAAGCGCCAGTGACGTCGTTTCGCGCGGCCAAAAAGTCCTGGTCAAGGTTCTCAGTATTGCTGGGCAAAAGATATCTTTGAGCATGAAGGACGTGGATCAAGAGTCAGGACGTGACCTCAATCCGATCTTTGACGCGCCCAAAGCCGATGAGGATGAGCAGCATCTGAGGAACCCGGATCGTCCGGCCACTCTGCTGGAATTCCAGAACAACATGGACGAGAACGACATAGCTGCCAAGAAGCGAATTAGAATGTCATCCCCGGAGAAGTGGGAGATCAAGCAGATGATGGCCGCGGCTTGCATCGATAAGAGCGAGCTGCCGGAGTTTGACGAGGAAACGGGAATTCTGCCGCGCGAGGACGACGAAGAGGAGGACATCGAGATCGAGCTGGTCGAGGAAGAACCGCCCTTCCTGCAGGGCCATGGCAGAGCACTTGGCGACCTAAGCCCGGTGAGAATAGTCAAGAATCCCGATGGCTCGCTTGCTCAGGCCGCTATGATGCAGAGCGCCCTGGCAAAGGAGCGACGAGAGCAGAAAATGATTCAAAGAGAACAAGAAGTGGAATCTAATCCAACTGGCCTTAACAAAAACTGGATAGATCCACTACCAAATACAGAAGGCCAAACTATGGCTGCTAATATGAGAGGAGTTGGCATGCAGATGCAGGACTTGCCAGAGTGGAAAAAGCACGTCATAGGGGGCAAAAAGAGCTCATTTGGTAAAAAGACCAATCTCAGCATTTTAGAACAACGCCAGTCTTTACCGATCTACAAGCTGAGGGATGACTTGATTAAAGCTGTAACGGACAATCAAATTTTAATTGTCATCGGAGAGACGGGCTCTGGCAAGACAACCCAAATAACGCAGTATTTGGCGGAGGTAGGCTTCACTGCCAGGGGCAAAGTTGGTTGCACGCAGCCCAGAAGAATTTCGGCAATGTCCGTCGCCAACAGGGTCGCAGAAGAGTTTGGCTGCAGGCTTGGACAAGAAGTAGGGTACACCATTCGTTTCGAAGACTGCACTGGTCCTGAGACCATAATAAAGTTCATGACTGATGGTATGATGCTGAGAGAGTGCTTGGTGGACCCAGATTTGAAATCGTACTCTGTCATCATGCTGGATGAAGCTCACGAGCGTACGATTCACACGGATGTACTGTTTGGCCTGTTGAAAAAGGCCGTGGGCAGAAGGCCGGACCTGAAGCTGATTGTCACTAGTGCGACCCTAGATGCCGTCAAGTTCTCCCAGTACTTCTACGAAGCGCCAATATTCACCATTCCCGGAAGAACCTTCGAGGTCGAAGTAATGTACACAAAGGAGCCGGAAACAGATTACCTGGACGCTTCTCTGATAACAGTGATGCAGATCCACCTAAGAGAACCACCTGGCGACATACTGCTCTTCCTCACCGGTCAGGAGGAGATCGACACAGCTTGTGAAATACTTTACGAGCGCATGAAGTCTCTGGGACCGGATGTCCCAGAGCTGATCATACTACCGGTTTACTCGGCTCTGCCCTCGGAAATGCAGACGAGGATATTCGAGCCGGCGCCTCCGGGCTCTCGAAAAGTCGTCATTGCGACTAACATTGCCGAGACCAGTCTAACCATAGACGGAATTTTCTACGTAGTCGATCCCGGCTTCGTCAAGCAAAAGGTATACAACTCCAAGACCGGAATGGACAGTTTGATCGTTACCCCGATTAGTCAGGCTGCAGCCAAACAGAGAGCTGGCAGAGCTGGGAGAACCGGCCCAGGCAAATGCTACAGACTATACACGGAGAGGGCCTACAGGGACGAGATGCTGCCCACGCCCGTACCTGAAATTCAACGCACGAATCTGGCAACTACCGTACTCCAACTAAAGACAATGGGCATTAATGACCTGCTGCACTTTGACTTCATGGACGCCCCACCGGTGGAGTCGCTCATAATGGCTCTCGAGTCCTTGCACAGTCTGAGCGCCTTGGACGACGAAGGCCTCCTGACGCGATTGGGCCGACGAATGGCCGAGTTTCCCCTCGAGCCGAACTTATCGAAGATGCTCATCATGAGCGTGCACCTACAGTGCTCCGACGAGATCCTGACGATAGTGAGCATGCTGTCGGTGCAGAACGTGTTCTACAGGCCCAAGGACAAGCAGGCCGTAGCCGACCAGAAGAAGGCCAAGTTCAACCAAATCGAGGGCGACCACCTGACCCTCCTCGCGGTCTACAACTCGTGGAAGAACAACAAGTTCAGCAACGCCTGGTGCTACGAAAACTTTGTCCAGATACGTACCCTCAAACGAGCCCAGGACGTTCGCAAGCAGCTGCTGGGTATTATGGACAGGCACAAGCTGGATGTAGTCTCTGCAGCGAAAAACACCGTGAGGATACAGAAAGACGTATGCTCGGGTTTCTTTCGGAACGCGGCGAAGAAGGACCCGCAGGAGGGCTACCGTACCCTCGTCGACAGCCAGGTCGTCTACATTCACCCGAGCAGTGCGCTCTTTAATCGTCAGCCTGAGTGGGTCATATATCACGAGCTCGTCCAGACGACAAAGGAATACATGCGAGAGGTCACGGCCATCGATCCCAAATGGCTCGTCGAGTTCGCCCCGGCCTTCTTCAAGTTCTCCGATCCGACGAAACTCAGCAAGTTCAAGAAGAACCAGAGACTCGAGCCTCTGTACAACAAGTACGAGGAACCGAACGCTTGGAGAATATCTCGCGTTCGGAGACGTCGAAATTAAAGTGGTTTTTTTTTTATTTTTTTATTTCATTCATGTTTTATTTAATGATAATATGTACAATTCAAGTTCGTTTCAACGCTGTATTGTGCAAAACTAGTTATACATTAGGTTCAATGAAGTTGTAAATACTTTGGTGTACATATTATAATATAGGAACATTGATACTGTAATAGCGTGATTTTGTAAATAAATTAAAATTAAACAAAAGTAACGAGTATGTGTTTTTTTTTTGTAAAATAAGAAGATTCAATTATTTTTTTCCATAAACGTTTTTAAAATTTTGTTAACTTCAATGACATAATGTTGGAAAAAAAGTGTGCACATTAAAAAGGCGAGATGTGGATAGCATGATGAATCGTCATTCTTTTGAAAATAATAGTAGTTTTCCTACGAGTTTGAAAAGTCTTTGTTTGCGAACCGAGAGGTTTGCGGCCCGAGCCGAAGGCGAGGGACGTAATGAGGTTCGTAAAGGAGACTTTTCGAACGAGTTCTGGAAAACTGCTTTTTCGCCCAAGGAAGTACCAGCCTTCCAAAACTACCCGAGTGCGGAAAAATAACTTTTTCTTTCTTTCTAATTACGGTTTTGTTCACTGCAATAAGCTGACGTTGAGGAAAAAAGTATTTATCGCAAAATCGCGTCCAGCCTGATTGCCTTTTTTACTTCCTGAAAAAAAAGGACAATAATCGTGTGGTACGCACGCTAGTCAAGATCTCGAGGGGAGATTCTCCCATCACACATATCCTTTTGTACACACGCATACGCGTACACGTGCGTATATGTTTGCGCATTTCCTTCTCGTCCTCCCCCGCTTCGATGATGTAAGTATATACATTTTCCAAGCGGATGGCTCACGCGTCGTCGGCCCTTTTGTGTAACATACAAATGCGAGCAGATATATATATAAGCTCTGTAAGTACAACAAGAGATAAAAGCGACGCTCCTTTCTGCGCTGTTTGTTGCATTTTACATATAAGTAGTTCTAACAATATTTTATTGTTTCAAGTACATACGTACAATAATGATAGAACATGTAACTTTGAAAATTTTCTCTATTTATCATGACTGTCCCAAAATTGAATTGATAGCTTTCATTTTTTTCGCATCGATTGATGAGTGAAATACCTAAGGGTAAATTTTTAAGTAGTGTTACCTGTGTTATACTTGCTCATTTGAAGGGATCGCGTGCTAAATTATCATTATCGTGTATAATCGTGCAAAGTCGCCGGGTCTCGGTGAAGTTCGTTCGATAGCGACCGCACAATAGTTTTATATACCTATACGTTATATACAAATATATATACATCAGAGGATCCGAAGAGTCACGGCAAGGGGGAGAGTGGGAACGTGTCCTTCCGGCTTCCGGCTGTCATCGAATAAAAAAAAGTGTTTTATAGGTGCTCATATGTATTATATACTTGCAAAACTAATCGGACAAAGTTTTTCGAGGAAGAGTGGGGAAATCTGTTGTTGTGTAAAAGTATGCGGTAACAGAAAATAAGTTATAAGCGCAGTATAATATATATACATACGTAAGTAAGTATAGAAGACAGCATTATAGTTATTGGAGAGGGTATTTTTTTATTTTGTTATTAAATAATATATATGATTTACGTGCATACCTGTACAGATAATTTTTCATTTGGAATCATGTGTTATATTAAAACACATAATAACAATGAATTGCATTTTTCAGATATTTAAACATATGTGTTTGTATACGTCGGTCACTTTCATTTCTTAAAATATACTATGATATTTTTTCGCAATCATCAGTTTACATATTTTTATAATTGCACTTGTTGAGCTTGTAGACATTCATACCATATATTATATTCCACTTACATATATTCTATATCAAATCTATGTTTTGTTATTATTGTATAGTGTGTGTCGATGTAAAGATGTAATAAAGAATTATAATGAAAACCCAATTATTTCAATCATAAAAATAATATATATACTAAATGTCGCAACGTTTTAGTTTATAATGAAAACGGAGAAGCCACTATTATAGTTTTTTTCTCAAAAAGAGTGTCCGCTGCGTCATTAATATTAATCATCAGTTATTTTATATCTTGCCTGTACGTATGTGTAATGCTTATAATATATGTTTTTTCTATAGTTCTTTGTTCATCATTACTGTACTTATAACTAAACAATATATATCAAAGTGAGAGTGACTAAATTAACTGAACATAAATATTTAAGTATCTGCAGTGATACGTGGATATAAATAATAGTTTTACTACTTTTAGCATTCGTATGCATTTTAATTTAATTTTTTTGGAGGTTGCGTCGTTGTCGTCGAGGGCAGAAAACGTGCGTAAGGATTATTATTACATCTCCGTCATTATCCCACCCTCTTTACTTCACTAGTCCGCCCTTCGACATACCCACTGTTTTTATGTATATATGTACATATATACACATACAGCTGTAAAGCAGCTAGGGGAGTCATCACAGGGGGTGAGGGGGTCGACGACGACGACGACGACGACGTGCCGCACAACAGTTCTTGCTTGGCGGCTCTCTGATTCGATTCCAACGAGAAAGTATATGGACATTTCCTTACAGTACTTCCATTTATTGTACTTATATTTGATTTTTTTTTGTATTTTTTTTCCTCTGTCAGATTCGATTGTTTCCTTTTTTTTTGTGTTCGCGAAAGTGTGTTTGTTGAAAGGATATTATGAATAGATTCATACACGTAGCTGTGTATAGGTAGATGAAAGGAGTGGATGGACCGAGACCGGATGCGTTGTTCTTTGTGTGTTGATGTTTTTGTTTTGCTTGCTCTCCTTTTTACTTTATTTTTTGGAGCAAAAGGAGCGCGCGCGTCTCGACTGCTCCAGTAGAGTGAAATCCGAGTACTTATACAGTCGGTGTTTTGTTAACTCTGCAACCCCATATTGATATACTGTAATTATATATTTCATTGTAAATATGACTCATCAGTGGTTATTGTCGTGATTTTTCAGAGATTACATGGTTCACTGGCGTTTTTGCGAAGGTTAACAGTGACGAGAGTGTTAAAACGAGCCGCGTAAAGGAGAAATAGCACAGCTGCTCGCATATCAGGACGAGAGAAGGTCGGAGTCATGGCGTGGAGGTTCAAGGCGTCGAAATACAAAAATGCAACACCAATCGTGCCCAAGCCCGAGGCTTGCATCCGTGACATTTGTGTTGGTTCTTATCAGACTTATGGCAACAACATTGCCGCCTCCGCTACTTTTATGGCATTCAATGTCGATCATAATGGTACGATTTTTAAAAATTTTAATTCACTTATACGTTGTTTATTAGTTTCATTTGATTTGGTTTAATCAAGTTTGCATACCGCGTGTGTGCGTGTGTCACCTTACCCGATTTAATTTATAGATAGCGTGTGGTACACAATGTCATTGAAAATCAATACATGATTAAATAAGTTTACAATGAAACTACACGAGGGGGTTGATTTTTCTGTGATAAGGGCATAAAAAACGTTGTCATTTCCAACATTTTTTTTTAGGCTCCAGTCTGGCTGTTTTACCGCTGGAAGACTGCGGCAGAAAAAGCAAAACGATGCCTCTACTTCATGCCCATGCGGATACTGTAACTGATGTAGATTTTTCTCCCTTTCACGACGGACTTCTTGCTACAGGCTCGCAAGATTGTTTGGTAAGATAGAAAACGCAAAACCGAGTTTTTGAAATTACGAATGTTTTAAGAAATAAGTCCCGATTGCGTCTTTTGATGTTTTACAGGTGAAATTATGGCATATCCCAGAAATAGGCTTAGAAGAGCCTCTTTGTAATCCAGAGTGTACTTTTTCACATCGCCAGAGAAGAGTAGAAGTTGTACGCTGGCATCCTTGTGCTGAGCACCTCTTGACAACAGTTTCTTATACAAATCTGTCACTTTGGGATGTTCTTTCGCAAAAGGAACTTTTCTGTAAGTGCTGTCTTTAAATAATATTGAAAAAAATTGTAATTGTGACAAATTTTCATTTTCTTTTCATAGCTAACAACGAACATAAAGAAGTTATTCAGTCATTAAGCTGGAAACAAGATGGTACTTTACTGGCTACTTCATGCAAAGATAAACAAGTCAGAGTCATTGATCCTAGGGCTGCCAAAAACGTGGTTCAATCTGCTTCTAGTCATCAGAGCATCAAGGATTCCAGAATCATTTGGCTTGGAAATAGTGACAAGCTCCTCACTACAGGATTTGATGCTGCCAGACTACGTCAAGTTTACATCCGCGATTTGAGAAATCTAAATGATCCAATCAAAACTCTTGAACTTGACTGCAGTACTGGGTAATTATTAAAAAATATAATTCTTCCGAATCCGAATAAACGATTTAAACTATACAAAAAAATTTTTCAGAATACTAATGCCCTTGTTTGATCCTGACACAAACATGCTATTCCTTGCTGGCAAAGGTGATACTACAATTATGTACATGGAAGTCACGAATAAAGATCCATATCTAGTCGAGGGTATCCGGCACAGTGGTGAACAGACCAAGGGTGTTTGTTTAGTACCAAAACGTGCATTAAACGTCATGCAAGCCGAAGTTAATAGAGTACTTCAGCTCACGTCTACCATGGTCATTCCCATCATGTATCAAGTCCCAAGAAAAGTAAATTAATATGCCTCTTATACAAACGTTAGTGAAAGCAAGCAAATAAATAATGAAAAATATGTATTTTTTAGACATACAGAGACTTTCATGCTGACATCTATCCTGAGACAGCGGGTTGCATATCTCAGAATACGGCAGTTTCTTGGATTCAAGGACATGATGTGCCAGTGCCGAAAATATCGCTAGATCCAGCAAAAAGAAGCAAAGGAGAGGAAGCAATAACGGTAAGGATTGATGTTTAATGACAGTAATATTTTTCACTCTTGCATTTTTCTGCGTAGTCCTTATCTGTATCAGTAACATGGGCATAAAAATATTTGTGTGTTTGTGTGAGTGTCTGTATTTAGATAGAACGTAGTTTTATATGTTAACTTTGATGAACAATTTTTAATGTTTTAGTTTTTTGTTAGTTTTAGTTTCTAATTTTCTGTGTATTACTTTTGTCATTTATAGTTTACAGTTAATGACTAATCAATATACTAAAGCAATGTAGGTATTGCATTTAATCCAAGAACACGAGTATCGTCTGCCTTTTGGTTGCAGTGGACTTTATTGGCACTCAGTTTTTGAAAAAAAAACTTTATGTATTTATTTTTCTTCGTTTCACTTTTCAGATATCCGTTATAATTTTTGTAGTTGTATTTATGTTTCACTGAATTGATGATCACTGGCACCTATGATGATTTGTAGTTTAAAGCATTTCGTGTAAGTAAGTCTGGACGTTTAGTTTTTAGTTTATTTTTGTTATAAAAAGCAACATTCTTGTTTAAATAATGTCATCACTACACGTATTTGTGCTTTAGAGTATATTTAAGTTTTGTAAAAGACGGTACTGCCAACGAAAAACTGAATTAGATTTCTTAATAAACTCAAAATTCCGTTGTACATTCAGGTACACAAAGGCAACTTAGATAGCCTGAAAAATATTCAAGACTCAAAATTGGAATTGCGTCAGCAAAAAGCCATCGCGATCTCAACGCCTAAGGGCTACACCAAGGCACAGTCTTACATCATATCTGAAAAGGACGACGGCTTGCCGGAAAAAAACGATTTTAACGAAGACAAGGACGAATACATAAAGGCAGAGATCGATAAGCTCGAGGATGAAAAGTCTCAAGCTAACAAGATGCAAAACGGCTCCCAGCCTGTTCAGATACCGAAGCCACTACCACGCGCTTCAAGAGCTAATAGCTTGTCCGAAGATTCAGGTGTTAAAGAAGAACCTAAACCAGTTGCACGACCGCGCACGACTCCAAGTCCCGGCTCAGTTGTGACATCCGTTAATCCAAACATCATTGGTGGTTACAAGGTTTGGGCTGATTAATAAGGATTTTTTTTCTTTTTCTATTTCTAGGTTTATTTTGCTTACTTACCTTAGATTAGGTTTTTATTATTTCGTATGTGTGGGAGTGTATGCGTTTGAATACATGTTACATTTTTAAGATTTTTAGTTTCAGTATCATGACGAATAAGTATAGTTTATTGAATATTTTTCCTTAACATTCAAATGACACTATTTGCAGCCTCGTCTTGGACCAAAGCCATTCCAAGCAAAGTCAGCCAGTCAGGAGTTCTCGTTTGATAAGGTGTTCTCTGTGCCCTTGGCACCGTCGAGCGACAGCAATGGACACCATGTCGGCAGCAACATGAACAACAGCAATGACGTCTATGAAAACAAGGACTCAGCAAACAACTTTAACGACGTTGATAAGTCCCCGACGTATGAACCTGAGCAGCGTGCAAACAAGGATTCTGAAAATGCAAAAAGCGACTCCAGTTCGATCGAGGAAGACGCAAACTCGAGCGACTCTGGCTATAAGCCAAAAACCCCTAGTACTGCCGAGAGACGCAGATTGTTCGAGGTCAAGGTAAAGGACGAATCACCGGAGAACGAGGATTCGGGTAATTTTGAACGGGGCGGCGCAAATCGTAATTCTATCGCCGAGCGCCGACGACTGTACGAGAATCGATCCACATCGGCTACCGATGGTAATTTAGCCGAGAAAGCAATGGGCTCGCCAACAGCTATGAGACGCAGAGATTCCTTTAAAGCAAAGAATGACATCACAAAGGAGGATGAGTCGAAGAAGACAGTATCAGTGCTCCGTCAGCAGAGCATGGATCCCAGGCTTGAAAAACTCGAACCCATAACTACGCCGACTCCAAAAAGAACGTCCACCGTGTTCGGTAGAGTATCAAAGTTCAGACATCTTAAGGGCACGCCTGGACACAAGTCAACGCATATCGAAAATATTCGTAATATCAGCCGTCAGATTTCTGGAGAATGCGACGGATTTCATGGTGACTAAAACATTTTTATTTATTAATTTTATTCGGATCAAATTTTTTTTATTTCCTGAATTATGTATGAATTGCTTTTTTTATTTTAGCCAATTCTGACAGAGTAGCGGTACCGCTAAGCGGACCGGGTGGAAAAATAGCTGTAATGGAATTGAAAAAAACCGGAAGACTACCCGACGGTGTCATGCCAGCTCTGGTACATGGAGCAACTGTAATGGACTTTCAATGGGATCCCTTTGATAATCAACGTCTTGCTGTTGGTGAGTTGATCTAAAATTCTCCCTCCACACCTTTGAAAAGCATGAATCATTTGTTAATAAAATTGTTTGCAGCTTGCGATGATGGTATGATTAGACTATGGGAAATACCATCTTGCGGTCTCACAGAGCCAACAAACGAGCCCAGTTACACAATCGAAGCGCACACAGATAAAATCTATCTCATTAAGTTCCACCCGCTCGCTTCAGACGTGCTCGCCTCTGCTTCTTATGACATGAGTGTCAAGATTTGGGATCTTGAGCCGCTCAAATCTGGCGAGTCGATTAAGAGCCAGATCACCTTGCAAGGACATACTGATCAAATTTTCAGTCTTGCGTGGTCACCATGCGGACAGTATCTTGCTACTGCGAGCAAGGATGGTAAGCTCAGGATTTACAAACCAAGAAGCAGCGATATACCGATGCGCGAGGGTAAAGGGCCAGTCGGTACCAGAGGTGCTAGGGTCATTTGGGCACTTGATGGGCGTTACTTGGTTGTCATGGGATTTGACAAGTAAATTTATTTTTATGTCACAATCAATGGTTTCTATTCTAAGTGACGTTTAATAAGTCTCATCCTTTATAGAGTTTCAGAGAGACAAATACTGGTATTCAAAGCTGATACTTTGGGCTCTACTTTAAATACAGTTGGATTGGATGTTTCCCCTGCTATCTTAATGCCGTTTTATGATGAGGACAGCTCCACTCTCTTCCTTACTGGACGAGTAAGTTTATGAATACGAATAAAAAATCAATCAGTTTTGTTTCCAAATGCTCAACGAATATTATTATGTTAGGGCGATTCAACGATCTATGCTTTTGAAGTAACGGAGGAAGCTCCTTTCATATGCCCTCTGAGTCACCATCGTTGCGCTTCCTTGCATCAGGGATTATCATTTTTGCCGAAAAACAAGTGCGACGTTGCTAGTGTTGAATTTGCTTCGGCAATGAGGCTAACAAATAACACAATAGAACCATTAAGCTTTACAGTGCCCAGAATTAAGGCAAGAAATTTTTATTCCTAGTAATAATTGTTTTTCTACAGGAATTTATTTGCTATATTTTTGCAGAGTGAACTATTTCAAGACGATTTGTTCCCACCAACTAAAATAACATGGAAACCGTCAATGAGTTCAAGAGAGTGGTTTGGCGGATCGAATAAACAAGCTCACAGAATCAGCTTGAAACCACCAGGAATGGATTGCCGTGAGTGATTTATATGAAATAAACTGCAATTCAGCAGAGCTCTAACTTAAAATTTATTTCACAAATTCCAGTCTCAGAATGCCAAGGACAAGCCGTGGTGACTGCACCAGTTGCAGCTAAGCAGAACTCAGGAAACATACCTGGATCCCAGTCTAATAGCAGATTAAATTCATATCAACCAAAACAGCTTGATGTATGTGTAAAAAATGGCGTCACTTACATTTAAAAAAAATTTTACATCTGATCTTGATCATGTTTTAATACTGTATATTTTAGTTGCTAAAAGCTATGAACAATCTTGTGCCCGAATTGATTTCATGTCCAGTGGAGCATGAATATGTGGAGGGTATAGAAGATCATGAATGGGTAAGTTTTTAATGTTTTAAATAAAAAAATCTAAGAAATGAATTTTACAAAAAATGTAAAATTACGATTTTGTCCGTTATATTTACGACTTGTTACAGAATTTATAAATATTTTTTCTACGCTTCTGTGGCCTTTACCGATATATGTTTTTACAGGATGACTAAGTGATACAACACACGATCGATTTAATAGAAAAAAAATGGCTTTTTTACAATGAGATTTTTTATATACGCTGAGGGTATTTGTGCAACAGAATGGAATTGTCCAAAGTTACGTAAATATGTTCGTTCGTTAATCCATAAGAATATTTTTCCTATTTATTAATTTTTAAAATATATGCAAATGATTTTTGCTGATCTTTATTCTTGTAACTATTTTTTGCGAGCTCTATGATGTCGTGAAAGGTGCTTTTACGCACGCGATCAAATAATGCGAAAACCGATCTATTTCTATTTGTGTATGTTGACTAAGAGGATTCGTTTTTTCGTGTGAGTTTTTTATACATTTAAGAAAGCTATGGTTCAGAGTGACAGGTTTTTAATTGTGTATGAAAGAGAATAAAAACAAAAAGTAAAAATGCTAGTATCAAGTTATCCTGCAGTCAAAAGAAGCAAAAAGTGATGATAGTTCTAGTCTGAAAATATAAAAGTTTTCTTTAGAAATTTTTTTCTAACTCAACGCCTAATCCAATACTAATAATAAAATATAGTATTACTATATCATGGGCTAAAAGTACGTTTAGTTTATAAAGAAAAAAAATTAAATAAAAACAAAAGAGAGAAATGCTATATCGATCAAGTTGAATAAATCTTTTTTTATATTAATAAAGAATTTTCCAAACATCGCATTGCAGCGAAAAATGGAAAAAATATTAAACAAGAAAATTGTGAAATGTAATCGAACAAAACAACAATTGAATTTATATCGAATCAGTGAGTAGATATAGTTGTAACGGAGGATATTATTTGGATGAATCTAAGCAAGTACAAGCGTTACGAGAGTCATTCTAAGAAGCAAGTATTTATTTGTCTTTATTTTAAAGTATAAACGCACATTTTAGGATTTAATTAGGAAGTATAATTATTAGTGACTGATAGAGGTAATGAATGAAATACATACTATAAATTAGTAGTATGTACAAAAGAAACATGACGAAATGCAAGTTAAAATAATGCTCGGGCATCTTTCGTTATTCGGAAAAAAAATCGTGTAAATTACGTTGGCCTTTTTCATAAACTATACTGTACGTGGTGATTTTTATACTTACGAATTTCATGTGTTACAACCTAAGTATTCTAAAAGTATTCTTATCGAAATAATAAGAGAAGCTGAAACATGATCAAAATCTATTTTACACTTGCCATATTGACACTTTTGCTAAAACGTATTTTACTACGAATATAGTAAAACATATAACTTTTTACACTTGAAAGTTTGTAATTTGATAAACCAAGTCATAAGAATGACAGTTACCGCTTTTCACAGTGCCATATGCAAACGATCTTGAGTGCTCTGCAGATTCTCAGTCATAAAGTGAAAAGAATAATGAACGTTTTCAACATTTCTATGCCAGAATTTTTCAAGCTTTTTCAAGATAAAGATAATTTATTTTTATTGACTGATAAAATCAATTTAGGAATTGTAGGTGCCAAAAGTCTCGTTTTTCCAACAGAGTTGACTGCATATGCCATGACTTTTAAAGGATTATTCCATTTTAATTTAAAAACTATGCTTTTAGTTTTGGATAATTTTATTTTACAAAGAAAAAAAACTCTAACAAGTATTTTAATTCGACATTTTACTTTGAATGAACAAAAATATCTGTACTTTTGTAGCGCAAGTGCTTCTGCAGAAAAAATAAAAATCAAAATAGACCGGGTTTTTTTAGAAACTGCAAATGAGAATATTTGTAGATTATGATGTAGTTAAATCTTTGTAACAATCTTATATCTTATATGTAATTCTATAAAAAATATTTCTACTTCAAACTGTGTGTTTTATTTTTTCCTCTTTTAGATACCCAACAAGCAGCATTTTATGTTATTATATTATTATTTACGTTAGTTTAAACTTTTCCAAGTTTACTGTTACATATTTGCGACATCCTGATATTTTCGAGACTTGGTGTATCTTAGACATCAAGTTAATACTTATTAATAAGAACTTGATGTAAAGAAAAAAACAAGGAAATAATCAGTGACTTAATATTTACACTCTAAGACTACTGTTTCTAAAAATAAAAAATATTAATTGTTAACCAATAATAGGTATTGAAATATATTTATAAACTTTTGTTTTCACGAGATGATAAACTTTAAAATTATACAGAGTAGAAAATCATTTAAATTAATTACCAATATAACATGCCATCAATGTTTTTAACATTAATAATCATTTTTCAAATACGTGGGATCAACTACTGTGTCCAACTCTATCTCTTGGGATTAACCTGAGTTCAGTACCATGTTTTAGAAAGACATTACCTGTAAAAATAATTTTGTTGACCTCTATAACTTATGGTCTAAATTTTGTTGTTTAATCGAATGTTAAGTTTTAACTCATAAATTTCATACCTGCAGTTTGCTGAGGATTTATCCCAACACCATCATCCGTGATAATAGCAGAGGTAGCTGGGGAAACTTTGAATTCCTCAGCAGCAAATTTCAGTACAGCTGTGAATGGTGTATGGTCTGGTACACTAAGACTGCAATGCAATGGATAGGTGATGAAAAATATAAGGCTAACGTTCTTAGCTAAGGCTCTTACTGATCGTGTGCTTAGGCACTGACTCTCAAGTCATAAGGCTAACGTTGTCTTATCTTTGTCAAGACATGCAAAAAATAAATGAGTTGGTGTATACAAGAACGATTTATTATTTTCATAAATTGATTAATTATTTACAGTTTGTTGTTTTGAAACAGTTCAACCATAAAATAAAAAAATTAAAAAAAAATACCGATCTCATAGCTTTATATAATACAATCGCGTTCAATATTTTCCCAAACAGCATCTAGTTCTTTGGCTAACATGATTCTATCAATAGTCACTTTATGAAGATCATCAGGACCATCTAACAGAACGTTAATTATATTTTTTAAATCCGCATATGAAAACCCTGAATTTGTAACCCACGTTTCTTCTTCATCTTCTTTCATATTTCTTCCAACATAGAAAGTTGCATCTATGAAACAGAGTTGAAACTTGGGATTTTCCAATAATCGTAAGAGAACTTTTTTTGTAGAACTGCACAACTCAGAGTACAACAAGAAATCGTTGTCTGTTAATTTCTTTGCAAAAAAATTTAGAATTAAAATGTGTACCTTGCTTTGCCGATCTGACTTGTAAGCTAGTTGAATAATTCTTGCTATGCATTGCTTATTAAACATATCTACTAACACTTCTTTTAATTTCATTTGCCTTCCAAGTTTTATCTCATGCTCCCAAGAGACAATAAATACCTCATCCTGAATATCTTCTTGGGAAAAATCCATATTTTGAAATATTTGCAAAATGGCGTTTCCCTGCATCGAGCAGGTGAGTATTCTGTTAATATTAGCTTCAAGCCTTTGACTACCAAACTCTTTGATATAAATTTTTAAAAGCTCATCCACAATGTCATCAGATAACTTTTTATCTTTAAAACAAATTTCTAAAAACTTGTCAGATACTTTTTCCAAGTAAAAACAGTTGTACAATTGACTTTTTTTCTTTTGGGCTATAATAAAATTCAAATGGTTTTCAAAGATTACTTCTACTTTTTCTTCCTTGACCTTTTTTATCAATTTTTCAATAAACACACTTGCTTGAAACATTTTCTTCATACAGTCCATAGTCATTTTTTGCATAGTATCAGTCTTTTCTATTAGTTCGATATAACAATCAACTACTTTCAAAAGATCTCTGATTTTAGGATCCATTTTTAAAACAAATGTGAGATTTCAATTGATACTAAAATTTAAACTTAAAAAAAAAATTCTTGTTGGATAGATTTTAAATGCAAACAATATATTATAAGGCAAACATGTCTTGACAATAGATAATCCAATTAAATATATTTGAACAAAACATACACTTTAAAAGGCAATTTGGGGTCGGATGTCAGTGTGATCTTGAAAGTAACTTTTGATCTGTAACAAAAACGAACAGTTTTAATAATTTTTTCTTCAGCTTTGTTTCAAATAAAAACTTACAGTTTAGAACCAAGTACTTTTTTAAAGGATCAACGTAATAAAACGATAAAATTTACAACCATCAATCATAAAAAACATGATGATTGACGTTTCAACATATGTCAGGAGTTTAATGAAGCTTAAACCACTTGCAGATTAAACTCTCCAAAAATGATGGATGATTTTATTAAAAGAGTTTAATAAATTAATTTTAATGCATGATGAACACATTTCGATAAATTACCAGTGCAGATATTAACTTACGTCGCCATTTTTCGAAGCTGAGCGATTGAACGTACTCAAATAATGACAACAAAGCAGGTGAGCGTCGATGGCGTTAACCTAAAATTCTGTTCCTTTTGTTTACGACTAATTAGATAGCATGCATGCGTATAGCAAACATGACTCAACGGCCGACGGCCGATAAGAGATTTATCGCAGGGTTCTGCCCCACCGACGGAAATGCAAGATTCTGCGTTACCGACATCAAGGGTCGATTCGCAACAAGCTTGTTCTCGACAACCGGTACGGCAGATACCTACATCAAACAATTTATCGGCTGCGTGTTATCGGTATGGAAATTAAGTATCCGTATCATCGTCAGTATGGTAAAACTATGTAAAAACATCTTATCGGCCGTTAGTATTGAGTCATGTGTTTTTTGTACACATTGCATCAAAGATCCAAAATGCTGGGGAATTGCTTGTAGTCTATTGGGTCGGCTCCGCTAGACGCTAGACCCTCCGCTCACATTCTATAAATTTTCTTGAAAAACTGAAAAGGCTAATGTCCGCAGCGGATGGGTCTATTGGATCGGTTCCGGGTTCCGGTAGACACTATTACGCACTCACATTCTCTGTGCTATTTGCGGCAAGTTTACAATCTATCTTTTTCCTGATCTACTTCAAAAAGTATAAATACATAGGAGATAGATTTTTGGGTAAATATAAATTGTTAACTAGCCGCAAGCAGTACTGATTACGTTAATTTAGATTACCATTAAAAGGCTCTACTGTTTGTGTAGCAATAATTGTTTGGATCAGCGCCATCTAGCGTTGCGAATTTCTGAACTAAAAAGTGGCTCCTAAACTTTTGAACCAGAGCTTTAGCGCGTAGAGCCATTTAGTCAATTATAAACCAGCCGCAACTCATGACAAAGTTATAAAATAAAAAAATAACGATACATGTGTTTTTGGCGGCAAGTTAACAATCTATTTTCTACCAAAAAATCGACCTCCTATGTGTTTATACTTTTGAAGATAAATTTTCGAGTAAAAGATAGATTGTTAACTTGCCGCCAAAAACACATGTATCGTTATTTTTTTATTTTATAGTTTCGTCATCAGTTGCGGCTGGTTTATAATTGACTAAATGGCTCTAATCCTGATTGCTCTGATTCAGAATTTTAGGAGCCACTTTTGGCCAAAAAATAAAGACCGCTAGATGTCGCTGATCCAAATAATTATTGCTATACTTGCAGTAAAGTCACTTTGTTAGTTATAAACCAGCCGCAAATAATTTTATAAATAGACGATAAATAGTTGACATTTTTTATGCTACTTGCGGCAAGTTTACAATTTATCTTTTACTTAAAAATCGATCTCCAAAACCATAAATATTCTACTTATCTTATATGGCTCATAAAATCGACAATATTTACAAAATTACAATACTCTTGACCTTTTACCATTAACTAATGAAAGAACAGCCCTTCAACTTTAGATTTCCAATAAACAGTTAACTTATATATAATATGTACGTAGAAAAATTTGTGTTACAGAGGACTTAGCGCGATTCTGCCAGTCTGCAGACTGCCAGACTCCATGTAATCTCACCCTCAGAGTGCTGCAGCCAAACGCATGCGCGCTAACTCAAAACGAACGCTCGTGCACTCGGTGCACTCGTGCGCTCGTACGTTCGTTCGTTTCCCTCCCGCTTCAATAGACGCCCAGGCAGGCCCAGACGAGAGCACTGGTGCGAACTTCACTTCACGTGGACATACTTCATTTGAAAAAGTAGCGTATTTCTTTAAAATTCCTAACCTTATATCCACGTAATTACGTGGATTTGGTGCGAATAGACACAGCGAATGGGTAAACCAGGTAAGAATACTTTGTTCTTTCTATCTGTCGAAATAACACGTTCCTTGTTGTCCTTTAAAATGCATATTTTGTGAGATTTTGGAGCGCACCGCGTCGGCCCACGGCTGTCTCTTAACCTCATCGAGCTTCGCTTGTGTTTGTTTTAGAGACTCTTGCGAACTATTTGTAAGATTATATCATGCTTTGTTTCATTGGGAAAAATAAAACGAATAATTTATTAATTTTGAAGTGAATAGACACAGGCGTTTGTTTACACCTAGAGGTGGTGCATGTAAACAAACTCCTCTTGTCAAGAAGTGTGGTTAGGGTTCGTGATAGCCGGTTTTGTCACGTGGTTCATTTCAATTCGTGATTTTCATTCTAAATCATTACGTAAATAATTATTTTATTATTAATATCTTTCAAGAAAACAATACAATTAATTTTCATTTTTTTTACTGCGCTATCTACTAACACAGAGGATGCAAATTACGAAAGCCACGATGGTATAATTTCTATTAGTTTGGTGTCTAAGCTTAACGAATTTACTCAGTCAGTGTGCGATTTTGATAATAAATTTCTAATGTTTGCTGAAATGCAAGCAGAGTTTTATTATGACACGTTTTCGTCCATGATATTCCATACATTTTTGGTTTGATGTATTTATTGCTTTACAGGATTCTCTCCACGTGGTGATGGCGGCTTTAGAGGAGGCGGCCGCGGTGGCTTCAGAGGAGGTGGTCGTGGCGGTGGTGGTGGCCGAGGTGGCGGTCGTGGAGGTGGCGGTGGACGTGGTGGATTTGGCGGTCGAGGGGGTGGTGGTACTCCCCGAGGCAGAGGTGGTGGTAGAGGACGGGGAGGTGGTGGCATGAGAGGTGGCAAAACAGTCATCGTTGAACCCCATCGTCATGAGGGTGTCTTCATTGCCAGAGGAAAGGAGGACGCTTTGGTAACCCGGAATTTGGTACCTGGATCTGAGGTCTATGGAGAAAAGAGGATAAGCGTTGATGTAAGTTCATTGTGAATTCAAAGAATTTAAAGCATATATTAGAGCTGGTCAGAATATCACAGTTGTCTAATCAGTGGTACAGGTATGCAAAAGTATTAAGTAGTAGAGGTGTATCTGCAAAATCTGGTCTCCTGTGTTTTGTGAATTAAATTTACTACGCACAATAGATTATTTAAATATAAAACGTTATTATTCTTGAGTTGTTCTTATGTATGCTCATAAATTTTATCATTTGCAGGTAGAAAACGGAGAGAAAATTGAATACAGAGTCTGGAATCCATTCAGATCGAAGCTTGCTGCCGCTATTCTTGGAGGCATAGAACAAATTCACATGCCACCTGGTAGCAAAGTTTTATACTTGGGAGGCGCTTCTGGTACAACCGTATCTCACGTGGCAGATATTGTTGGACCTGTAAGTTTCATCATTTCTAAATATTTTTAAGCAGGCATTAGAGCCAAGCTGGTGTATTTTGTCAGTTTGGTGTCGAAGCACTGCAATATTAATACTGCTAGTTGTATCAATCAAAAATTCGTAATATCTGATTTTTTACCTTTTTACAACCAGTATACAAAATTTCAATACTCACATTTCATTAATCCTATATGTAGTGTAAGACACATTTTAAATAAGAAATACACTTTCAGGAAGGTCTTGTGTATGCTGTAGAATTTTCACATAGGTCTGGAAGAGACCTAATTAATGTTGCTAAAAAACGAACAAACATTATTCCTATCATTGAAGACGCCAGGCATCCACACAAATACAGGATGTTGGTCGGTATGGTAGACACAATTTTTGCTGACGTAGCTCAACCAGATCAAGCTAGAATCGTCAGTCTGAATGCACAGTATTTCCTTAAAAATGGAGGAAACTTTGTCATTTCAATCAAGGTATGTAGCTTTCCCAAAAAAAATAAAACCTGTAAAATTTGCATACCGTAGAGCTGATTGGAACAATTTATGTTCTCAATCAGTGGGAACAGTTATGCCAAATTAAAAATAGTGCATATACTTGAATTTGAAAGATGATTAAAATCTCACAAATGTGGAATACTGCACACAAGTACAAATGTTTTAATTCACACCTCATACATGTACATCATATTTTTGTCTATAATAAGTCGTTTTATTTTAATTTCAGGCTAGTTGCATAGATTCGACAGCCAAGCCAGAAGCAGTCTTTATGGCTGAGGTCAATAAACTAATTGCAGACAAGTTGAAACCCAGAGAACAGATCACACTCGAGCCTTACGAACGAGACCACGCAGTTGTCGTTGGTGCATTTAGGCCTCCTCCAAAAAAAGCAGCAGCGTGAAAAGTGTTGCATAACACCCATTTTATGCACACCATTGAATTATCGATGATTTCTAAGTTGTTGAAAACTCGTTTAACCAGCAGATAAAAAGTTCTGCTGTACATGTATAATAGTAGCTTATAAGTTTACATTTATATATATATATTTTTAAAAACTTTTGTAATCAAGATGAGCCGCAAACGCACAATCAGCGCGTTTTTTGTTACATGTATCGACGTGCTACCAAGCTAATGAGATTCTCATCTTCAAATAAAAGACAACATGAATAAACATGTATTTTTCACTGAAAAAAAAAAAAGTTGGTACCCATTTTTTTATTTCCGCTACTTCGACAAACAACTTGTTATACGCAATACCTGATGTATAAAAAAACAAAAGAGACAATTGCCTTTCAAGTTTCATCCCGTCTCTGGCTATTTTCAAGTTGGTCAACCACATGCTGTTGACAGTCGTTGATTTTCTTAATAACGGTTGCGCCTATTTTTCCAAATTAACAAGTAAAACGGCTCACGACCCGTAACTTTCCAAATTATAATGTCATCGGCTGATCACCCAACAAATTAATCGTTTGGTCCACTTGAACCGCCGTAATTACTAAAAACAATGAGCGAAAAGGAGAGCGGTGAAAAAGGTTTGCTTATTCCATTGTGTCGATGACGCCCGATCCAATGATAAAATAATTCCCGATCCAGATGTCCCGAGCGACACTTCGAGCGACCCGAAAACGGCCAAATCGGCGGACGTACCGAAACGGGTGAAGGAGCGTCAGAAATTGTTCAAGAAGAAAAAGTCACGGTAAGTAAACTTGATATCACTCATCAAACCACATGCCATTGAGCAGTTTATTAAAGTACAATAATAAATGATGTTAATTAGCTCGGCAACCAAGCCAAGGCTGAGCGGCGGAGCGGACGAAGCCGGAGGATCAGCCGTGGCGTCATCCGAACAGGTCGTCGTAAAGATGGAACCCAAGGACGAAGCGGAGGAAGGAGAAGAGGCCTCGAGCTTCAATCAGCCGGGTAACGGGGCCGCGTCGCCGATGAGCCGACCATCGTCCGGGAGCCACTGTTCCAAGCCACCTCTTCCCTCCACCGGGTAAGCTTTCAACCCTCATTCTATGCATCTTTGTCATGATATATTATGTATTATTATTCCTACCGTTGAATTTCAAAAGGGATCCGCGAGTCGACGAGATGCTAGAGCGGGCCCTGCATAACCTCGAGGAGGCGAGCAAGGCTCTGGCCAGCCTCGGAGAGAACGTCGAGCACGAGCTTAAGGTGGAGCCAACGGCGGATACCGACAGCCGTTGCAGTAGCCGCCATCCGACGGCCACTGCCACGGCGACGGTTTTGAGTAAAAGCGCGGCGATTCGGGCCCATCGGGCCAGTCGACGATCCAAGAGACACGACTGATTATTATTATTATTATATATATACGTGATGCGCCCGGTGACGCGCGTACATTGGGTATTTATAAGGACGTCCAATTACTGGCACAATTTATTCTGCAGTTTATACGACCAGTGTGATTATTTATGGTAATTGACCAAAAAAAAAAAACAAAAAAAAAACAGTCCGCTTGTGTACATATATATACATACATTATTTATATACTGTGGAATTTTAAATAAAGTCAAGGAAAAAATGGCGCTTGGTCTTTATTGTTGTCAGTGATTGGACCACCTCTATACTTACCGATTTCGTAGTACTTGATGAACAAAATGAAAAATAACTAAAGCAAAGAAAAAAACTCACACTATGAAAAAAAAAAAAAAAAAAAAAAAGTAAAAATAACGAGAGCATCCAAGAGTATCTAAATGGAAAAAAATTGCAGTAAAAATCATCATAATTTAAAAAAGTCTATCTCGCGGCAGTATTGTCTCAAGTCGATTAGCAGCCGAGGAACGATTTTTCCTTCACCTTCAGTCGAGGATTTTTCTTCATTTCTGTAAATTTTCGCTGCTGCTGTTGTTTCCGATCTTCGTCCCTGATACTCATAACATTTTTCTAATTAATGGGCACGAACGAGATTTAAAAATTCTTCACGCGTCTTGGGATCGTCGCGAAACACGCCCAGCATCGTCGACGTGATTGTCTTGCTGTTGATCTTCTGAACGCCTCGCATAACCATGCACATGTGCCTGTTAGAGCCGAAACACACACATAACGTCAAGTAATAATTATTTATTTTTATATATTATCTAGATGCTTTTTTTTTGCGCTTCGGCGAGTTTTTTCGGAGGTACATGTGGAACTCAATGATCAAATGTATCACTTTTTTTTGAAAATATAATAAAATATTTATTCAACATACGTTATTTTATACATGTATACATATATATATATATGTATATGCACTTGTATGTGTCAGAAAAATATCTTTAACAATATCGAATCAAAGCGTTGCGTTTATTAATTCTCGTCGTTACATTCTTTCCGCAAAACCATACACAGATATCCCTTTTTCTTTCATTGATCTCGTGTTTCACGAGTCATTTGTCGTTGTAAATTATTTCAAAAAAAACCAATGTTGGGGAATGATATGGTTCTCGCCTAACTATTATTTCGTCTCGTTTCCCGTCCGTTGCAAGATTAGCGGCAAGCAAAAAAATTAAATATTAAACATAACATCTATACGTATTAGTATTTTAATTTGAACAAAAAATATATTGTATTGCTTATTTAATTGGCTATTTACAACGTTGGAGTTAAATAACTGAAAACAAAAATTAAGATTACTATATATAAGATTAAAGGAATTGGGACTAAAATACGTAGCAGAGTAATTTTAGTAATCTAAACAAGCGTAAAATATAACGATAATCATTTGAGCTTGGATAACATATATTTTATCCAACGTTTTTTTTTTTTTTTTTGTATTTTTCTGATCGTTGAATAATTATAAGTTTCGCTCAGTTGGTAAGCTTTTGGAACGTTAATGATTTTCTTAAACGGTTATAAATACATTTTAATAACTCTTGATATATATATATATATATATAGAAATTTGAAATTTTTTTTTTTTTTTTTTTTTTCATCAAGTGCAACACTAAGTGACGAGTAAAAATATAAAAACGATGTCAAGTCAGCCTTGTCATTTCCTACGTAGAAANAAAAAAACCACGATTGGCAGTTGTTCCTGGTAGAGCTGATGCGCCGCACGCGGGGCAGAATGTGCCAAGTGGAGGGCAAGATCGACTGGGCGCGCCGCGACATCCTCGATCTCCACAAGGAGCTGTCGGCCCGAGTGGCCGCGTTGGAGGAAAGCCGCCGCGAGTCTGCCGAACTCCGCGAACGCCTGGCGACCGCCGAGAAATCCCTCAGCGACACCGTACGATATATTAATTATACACGTGTATATTGTATACCCTATGTATGCAACAAAAGGTATGGATGGTTATGTAACGATCGAGCAGAAAAACGGCCCGACGAAGCAAGAGGGGCTCGACGGCAACGCGGGCGAGATGGCAAAGTCGATGAGCCCGTCCCAAGCGTGCAGCATCCAGTCGAAGCAGCGTTTGGCCGGATCGAAGCAGCCGTCGCGCTGCGAGAGCCGCATCCTCCAGCCAGACTGCCCCGGCGCACCCGTTGACGCGGCCACGATGCGAGCCGAGGCCGAGCGGTTGCAGCAGTGCTGCGCCGAGGTATGCACGTTGAATGCGATTTTTCACCAATTTGTTGTCTTGGCTCTATGTATACACACCCTCGTGTGTCCCGTAGATGGAGGAGCAGGTGCTGTGCCTGCGCAAGGAAAACGAGAAAATCGTGAAGGAACGGGCCGAGTACGAGAACGCCATCCAACGGGCCCTGCTCAAGGGCGTCTCGTCCCTCAACGCCGAGGCGCTCAAGGTCCTCAAGGTCACGCCCGTTGCACCCAACTGCCCCCCCGGCTCGCCCTCGACCACCATGTACGAGCCCTTTTATCCTTTCTTGTTTTTCTTTCGTTGACCAAACTCTGTTGGACCGGGTGTTTTTTTTTTTTTTTTTTTTTTTTTTTTTTTGAGAAATTGTCCGCGCGTGTTTATGTGCAACGGTAGATTTAACATCATCATACGAATGTTTATGTCGCAGAGAACTCAAATCTTACTAATCTTATTAATTCACCTCGGTGGTATTGCAAGGAAAATGTGTATATTTAAGAAATGATTTACATCACAGTTGCATTAAATGAAAATACGGTTTCAATTATAAAATACTTGGTATGAATTCTTGTATAGAATATTTGGGATTCATCTCTTGGCTATTAAATAAATAATTAAAATTTACAGGTGTGTCACATCCCATGCAAAGATTATTTTTATAAAAAGAAAATAAAACAAAGTTTTCCATTTACAAGTAAAGCCACTAATGTTCGTGCAAAAAGCAATTTAATCAATCAAAGTTCCGAGGTGCCATAGATGCGACTTGATATCGTCGCGTGTGAAAAAAAAAATAAAAAAATAAAAAAGCGACGTGCGAATATAGCGAGTCACAAACACACACGTACATAACGTACAAGTAAAGGCATAACCATGACGTGGGCGTGCTGCAACAAGGAACAGTGTGTGTAAAAGTGGCGGAGGAGTCAGCAGCCGTAGTGTCTTGCTCCGTGCTCGTATAGGTGCTAATAAAAAGAGGCGAACAGCGTTTAATAATTCGACTCGCTCGCGACGCCACCAACATCTGCTGCTCGTTCTTACTAACATCCACACACCCCCTTACATCCTCTGCTTTCTCTACCCTTTTTCTAACTCGACACACCCCACATTGTCGTGCGTACACGTCTCCTTACACGCGTACACGCAAATCCTCCTTCTCCTCCTTTGGCTTTAATTAATCATTTCGCGCTCGATACGCCGCTCTTTCCCTTCGAGCCTAATTGAATTCGCCGATTGCGTTAATACGAGTTTAATTTAAATCAGCCGAGTTCCTGCGGCTCGTTGTATATACGCATCTCCCACTTCTCCTTTGCCTCAACCCTCGCGCACCCCTTCGATAGCGCGCGAAACGCCTTTTTTTCCATTTTCTCTCTTTCCCCGACGCTATCCCCTGTTTTATTGATCTTCGCGCGCTGCTGCTGCCTGCCGGCGGCAACGCTTCTCGGCCGGCTCGCTAAAAAGGTGGCATCGTTATGGCTCGCGTACATCCGTGTACAAACGTCTATTAGTTTCCTTTTTTTTCCCGCTGCACTGGCTCCAGTGTTTCGAATGAATTGCAATTTCCTCCCCGAGCGTTTTATTCGTGAATTTTTGCTCGCCCTGTGTAACCAGAGCCACCTCCCGTTTTTTTTCTTTCTTGCTTTCAGGTTGCTTCTCTTATAGGTGTGCTGTGTTATGGTTGTTTGAGAGTGCTCGCTTTTTCTTCGATGAACCGTTTGCGTTATTTGAATGCCTACACTACTTTTTAGCGGTTAATTTAGTTGCTGAAAAATGGGCACACAGCTTGAACTCGA